ATAATTATGAATATGTGACCAGTCGTCGGAAAAGTTGTCGGAAAAGAGTGGTGGTCGGAATGGTCGTCGGAACGATCGCCGGAAAAGCAAAGGGAATTGAGCCATAGATAAGTTTCCACGATGATAATGATTTGTTTGGATCCATTTATACTTGTGTTATTTGACTTGGATAGGGAGACTCTTTCTTTTCAGCTAGCTGTTTCGCAAAGACAACGTGGTAGGGACCCTCAGAGCACAAAAATGTCTTGGTCTTCGTGGGATTTTAGTATGTGGGAAAAAAGAAAGAAACTTCGCATGGTTGATTCCTTCTCTCTCTTTTGTTACCTATCCCTTTGCTTTGCCCTTTTGTTACTACTTGTTCAGAATTGGACCATCCATAATGCAATTTGATTGGCAGATGGGACGTTCATTTTTCCACTGTGACCTGCACTTAAATATCTGTGTTTGAAGGTGGGTTGTAAATTGTAGGAACAATTTTAAAGATGGAAATGAAAACAAAGTTAAAATAGCCAAAACTCGAGTAATATTGTGTGTGAAACATGCACCGTATGTATGTTGTAATCCAACATTACGACAAATAGCAGAAACTCGGGTAATATCCTTACCCTTCATACTCGAACTTGATGAAGTAGAAAGGAAGAGGATTTAGAATGAAGGGGACTACGCCTCTTGCAAAAATAATTAAGTTATTTGTACAAGTCTTGTTGACAACTTTGGTGTTGTCGAAATTGAGACATACACACATATATATATGTGTCTATATATATACACACACACACATATATATATATAGTTCTATCATTTTCTATAGACTGCAGCCTGTGTCACGTCTTCTTTTTCAATTTTTTTCTACCAAGTCTAGATACACAAATATGAAGTTTGCAGCTTTAAGGAATTTGGGTTTACTCCATGGGTCAAAAGTTGTTCTGGGTTTTTGACTTCTTATTCTGAACTGTTTTTAAGTGGAAGAAATGGGTTAATGAAATAATTTGTACTGTAAATTTGGTGGTTATTTACCTTTTCTTGTCTTCTAGTTGTATGGTTGAATAGTACTAGCAGCACTCAGCTACCCGTGAATTAAAATCTGAACTGTGTTGTAAGGTATGCGTTTGGGCGATAATTTTTAAATACATTGTAAGCTAAATCGTTATCCGTGAATAGCCATGTCAACGAGTCGAGTCACGAGTCGAAACTCAAAGCTCAGGCTCGACTCGAGAAAACAGGTCCGAACTTTTTGAGCTTGAGCCGAGCAAAAGCCCGGCCAAAAAATGAGGCTCGGCCCGAGCCGACTGGTATTTTTTTTTTAGTTCATTATAAATCTATAAATTTTTATAAT